TCATGCTGGAGCATGTAATCTGCTTCTTCTAACTCTACAGTTCCCTAGAATTCTCCTGTTTCTTTGCACTCTGATTTTTTTTTTCAGTTTGCCTGATCCTGTCCTGAAAAATACAAAAGGAAGGGCATAAATCTCATCACAGATGCCTATAGATGTTCAACAAACCATTTTTAAAGAACATCTGACATATATTTCACATAGAAATCTCCACAGCCCTAGCTAAGCCATACATGTGCCCCTTAATACTTTGGTCAGAAGACAAAATAAGCAGAGACAACTTGCCACACTGAATTTTCAGCCGGATTAGTACGTGAATAATCACATCCCATTACCCTATCTGAATGGTAAGCCTTGCTTAGTAGGAGTAGTGAGAAAAGTCACACCACGCCCTTCTGCTTCCCCTGAGGCTATCAGACAGGGCAGCCGGCCGGCCAGCCATACTTTAATCTCCTCCTTTTTAGAGGAAGTGATCATAGGTAGCTACCCTGTATAGGTCAGCCATCAGGACATGCACAGCGCTGCTTCCCCACCCCTGTCATAAGCCAATTGCGATGCAGATGGACAGACAGCACCCAAAGCACTTTGCAACAGAGCAGACTTTATGAGGAGTTAAAAAAAAATGTAGCCAAATACCAACATGGTTTGTGTCCATCACAACCTGCACTGCAGGTCACAGAGAAATGAGCTTATGTTTCTTAATAGCTGATCAGCAAACAACTTCACAGAGCTTGGTCACGGGATGAATGCAGACGAGTTTGAGAGTAAAACAAAACAGAGAAATGGCAAAGACAAAACCCATCTCCAAGCTGCGAGGCCTAATTCAAATCCAAGGCAAAATAAACTACCTCCCTTGGTAATTAAAAAAAAGATACTAGAATGCTACACAGTAATAGGATAACCCCAAATAGCGTAACTGCATTATGTGTAAAGGGGCCTTGACTGTCAGTTCTGTACAGCCCCTAGCATATTGGGGCTTTGATGCATGATTGGAGCCCTTGTACCATAATACAAATAATAAATTAATAATTGAACCCCTGTGGGCTTCAGGGCACTGCATACGAAATTAGGGATGTGGTCCTGCAGAGTATATACTGGCTTCTATTAGACCTTCCGGTGCTACTCAATGTCAGGGTATTGGGGTCTGTTCTGAAAGGGTCCGGACGTCTACCTGAGTGGAACAAGTTTCTTTATGGGCACTGAGAAGGCTGGCAATTTCAGCCCTCACACGGGAAGATGTGCTGATCTTTGTCAAGTGCCTTCATCAGTTCTGCAGCAGTGTCAGAGTAATGGGGTGGAAGGGAGGATTATTGCTCCACCAAAATATTGGGGGAAAGGTTTGGCTGCGCTAAGGAGGCTGTTGAGAACGATATGAAAAATATTTTAATGCTATTATAAAAGTCAACAGCACATCCTGTAGCCACTGTCCTGGAAGAGCAACAAAAGTGATTAGAAGCATGAGGGGAATATTATAAGGACTAAGAAAACTTAGTTTGGAAAGGAGACAGGTGAGGAAGTTATCGAGAATAATGAATAGGAAAGGCCAGTCATGCCACTCCGATTTACCCTCTCCCCTAACATAAGCATAAAAGGATGCTGGATACAATTAAAAGGGAAAAAATTAAAACCACTAAAAAATATTATTTTAACACGTGTATTAACCTGTGGAGCTTACTGCTGCAGGATGTTAGTGAGCTTAAAAGAAAAATGCTTCTCTGATTGAGGATAGCATCTGCAGTTAGTTACACAGGCTAATATAAAATCACAAAGGGCTATCAATCCTCAGACTTCAGGGTCTGAACAGAACCTTGGCTGCGACCAAGTAGAGATTCTTCCACATGGCCCAATTAGGTGCAGTCTGGGGATTTTAATGTTTCCTCTGAAGCATACAGCACATGCCACTGGCAGAGACAGGATACCAGATTG